AGCACATGATAACTACAATGGTGGACGTCGTTGGTCTGTCCTGACATCCAACATGGCAGAAAGCATCAATGGTGTTTTCAAAGGTATTCGTGCACTTCCTATAGCTTCTCTTGTGCAACATACCTATTGGCGATTGGTGGAGAAATTCGATAAGTACAGGTTGGAGACAGGAGCAGAAATTAGAAGTTGCGGTTCACAGTACTCCACCAAGTGCGAAGAGCTGATGAAGCCGTGGTCACAAAAGGCAATTGGACATTCTGTGACAGCTCTTGATCGACGTCAAGGCATCTATGTAGTTCAGACTCCTCCCAACAATTTCAACATGACGGGGTCAAACACACTCACAGTGCACTTTGACGATCAAAACCGGGCAGGATTTTGCACCTGTGGTAAATTTCAAGGAAATAAAATTCCTTGCTCTCATGCCATTGCAGCTTGCAACCAAATGGGGGCTAATGCGTATAGGTTTGTCAACGATGTCTACAAGCTGGAAACAGTGATGGCTTGTTATGGGACAAGTTTTGCACCTCTTGGTGAACCTAAGGGTTGGAAGAAGCATAATGGTCTTATTCTCCATCCTAATGTGCACATGATTAGAAAGCCGGGGAGGCCACGAGTTACAAGGATTCACAACGAAATGGACTGGCCAAGGGAGGGTGCATCACACCAAGTGTGTAGCAACTGTAACCAAGCGGGACATAATGCATCAACCTGCGGTGGCCAAGCTAGTGGGAGTGGGAGCAACCGAGGAGGGAGTGGTGGCCAACAAAGTGCGAGAGGTGGTAGAAGAGGAAGTAGAGGTAATAAATGTGCCTGAGAGGTGGTAGAAGTTGTTGTATTTCTTTTGATTTACCATGTAGAAGTTGTTGTTTGAAGTTGTTGTTGTTTGGTATGTAGTTGTTATGGTTTTTATCGTTAATAATAATAACAATCCAAAAATAATAGTCTCAAGGAAGTACATAATAATAACAATCCAAAAATAATAGTATCAAGGAAGTACATAATAATAACAATCCAAAAATAATAGTCTCAAGGAAGTACGTAATAATAACAATCCAAAAATAATAGTCTCATTGACGACCACCACGACGACCACCATGCTCCACCACTAGATGGCCGCCAGTACCACACCTCGCAGGCACCCTGTTACGTGGAGGTCTACCATCATACTCCTGGGGCTGATCTCCCTCGACACCACCATCCTGATCCTGTGTGCTGAACATATCATCCTGCTGAGACTGAATCTGCTCCTCAGGTACACCGCCACCATGCTACTGAGACTGAAGATGCTGCTCATAATTCCACATCGTCTCCTGAAACGTTTCATCACCCTCTAGGCTGTCCCACAGGTCGGGAGACGAGGCTGCTCTAGTATCACCACCTGAGGCCATGTTTCCCATCGTAGCATGCTGCGGTGTATGGAAGCTATCCTCTGGCTGATAGAAGGTCGAAGACGGATCTGACTGAAACTGCTGCCGGCTGAAAGCTCAAAGACGGATCTGACTGAAACTGCTGCCGTTGCGGCGGGTGAAAGCTCGAGGAAGGATCTGACTGAAACTGCGACCGAGGCGGATTAAACTGGAAGCTCCTCGAGGTAGGCCGGACGGGCTGTGCTCGTTGTCGATCTGAAACCCGGAACGGGTTAGGTACATCACGATGCTCACGTCGCTGTCTACGTAGCCTATGCTCCTGTCTGAACTGTGGCTCTGGGACGACCCAGCCCGGTGTCGGTACTGTGAGATCAGGATCATAATGGGGCTGTACAGGTACTGTGAGATCAGGGTATCTACGCTGCTCAAAACCTAGAGTAGCAACCCCGAATGCCATAATGTTGGCCAAGTCCTCACACTGGTCGGGGGTCAGCCCTCCAGCCCGTACACCGTCACGCAAACTCACCTCAGCATGCTCGAAAGTGTCGTACTAAAAACACCAAAAAAATGTCAGATATTTCACACAGTTAACAACAAATTAAGCAAACAAATCAAATAACTAACCAATGCCTCCGCTGTAGCTCCTCTCCGTGTGCCGGAACGTCTGGTGACATCTCTATACCACTCCATATGCTCCAAGTGGTAGGCTAACTCCTCATCAGTGTATGGAGCCGTCGCTACAAACTCGTGTCGACAGTTCCAGAAAGCAAGCGACTCTCTGGAGGCGTGTACCAACTGCTGCCCACGCGATGGCCCACGAGTAGCCTGATGAAGAAAAAACCTAACCTCAACCTCAGGATGTGGCGGATGAGGCTCATGCTGCCTCATGCCAAACTGCCGGAGCACGCGGTCTGGATGATGCCACATCACCGATGAAAAGCAAATAAGTGGCACTACTGCTCGAAATGTCTCAGACGGTATCACACTACCTCTGAGATGAAATGCTCTCTCAATGTAAGGTTGCCACTACATAAAAAAAAATAACGTTATTATCCCTAAATCTAAAAAAATAAAACAAATGAAAACTATTCTATAAAATGGAATGTTATATACTAACCACAACGGTGTCCATCGCGTCAAACCACAGCTTGTACTGGAATAGCTGGTCACCATACTGACGATTGTTGGCCGAAAGCCATCGAAGACCACGTGGGGATGCATCCTCGGAAATTTGTGCCCTCGTCTCTGAATGTCGAGGTGCCAGATGTGGGAATCGCTCCCACGCCCAGAACTGCAGTAGGGCGACCCATCCACCAAGGTCACGCCTAGAGAAGTGCCGGAATGCGTAATGTGCAAAGTCGACCTACCCATCTCACGGTACAGGTAGGATAAAACAGCAGCTCCCCAGGCAAACCGTCCAGCTCTCTGCCAATCCTCAATCAGAAGTAGGTACTGTAGGTGCACCGTAGCTCCAGAACGATCCGGGAAAAGTACACCTCCCATCAGAGATAGAGCATAAGCTCGTGCAAACTGCTCTATAACCTCCTGTGATGCATTTTCCGGGAGATGACTGAATTCATCGCTCAGCCAAACAATCCTAACGACACCGACACCGCCTGAAAGATCAGTCGGAACCCGTCCTAACAGTCTCAAGTAGATCGCCGACCACTCCTCATCCGGTATATCAACTACGACGGCACCAACGTCGATCGCCAGACCGGACAGTGTAACAACGTCTTCTGACATGATCGTGATCTCACCAAACGGTATATGGAAGGTCATCGTCTCGGGTCGCCACAGCTCTACGCGCAGTAATCAAACTCGCATCGGGGTTCATAGGGACTAGGGACACGACACTTAACAAGCCTGCCGCTTCGAGATATGGCCGATAAAGCTCATGGTACGTCACTATAATGGTCGTACCTCAAACATGGTAAGATCGATCACCAGCCTATAATGCACAAAACTTATATTAATTCATTTTCATTCGTAATAATTCTAATTTTACCTAATAAATTCTAATCTATCTAATCTAATATAAAATTATACTAATTTTAAAAAATTTGATACGTAATCCTATTCTAATTTCAGTACAGTTCAGTTCACCAACTAAAATAATCTAATTAGCTAATTTACTTTACATGAATAATTATCAAATACTTACCTCGTCTGTCTAAACAGAGTCGATACGATGTTGGCCATGTCCCCAAAGAAGTGCCGGATCGACCGGACCTGGATCAATTGTCGTCGACGGTATTCTCATCGAATAAGGATCCATAAGCCTAGGAACTGCAAAAACAAAGCAACAAAACATTAAAAAAAACACTAAACATTAAAAAAAATTCAAGCCGCCGGCGAGAGTCTCACCGCGTAAACGGCCGCCGACTCCACCACGACCTCGCCGGCCTCTCCTCCTGCCTCTGCCGGCGACTGGTTCTTCGTCGGAGGACATCTCTGTCGGGGGGGGGGGGGGGGGGGGGGGGGGGGGGGGGGGGCGCTTCTGTCAGCGGCGGCGCCTGTCTCTGTGGCGTCGGCGCCTTCGTCCTGGAGGGAAGAAGAAGAAGAAGAGACAAGAGGGGTCTAGGGTTCGTCGATTTAAAAAAAAATAAAAAGAGGGTGAGGCGAGGCCGCTGGAGACTTGGGCTCCAGCGCTCAGAATTGGGTAAAATATTTAGAAACCGCGACCCCGCCTTAGTCTATCCCGCCCCAAACTTTACTATAAAACACAATATTTGTGTCAATTCTTTTTAATCCGCAATATTTGTGGCAAATTAAAAAAAATACAATATTTATGTCATTAACCCCCAAAAGTTCAGATAAACAAAACAAAAATGGCCCGACCCGACACCGTTATCTCGGGTCCCTCTCTCTCTTCCTTCCTTCCCCTTCTGAATCTCAGAAAAAATAGGGTTTCCTCAACATAAACTCCCACAGCACAACGAATCCCCACCATTTTTCCCCGTGCCAGGCGTTGCTCTGTACTCTTTACTCTCCATACTCTCCTGGTAATCGCGCTCTCTCTATCTAATTATGACCTTTACCTCTTTCCCTTAAATGTCAATGGAGCTCTATGAACCATTCTCATTTGTCTATCTTCAGTTTACTGAATGTGACATCTCTTTCTTACATTTCCTTGCTAATTTTTTATTCGCTTCATCAAAGTTTGAGCTCCCTCGTTTGGTGAGCGTAGAAGGGCTGAGGAATTACTGGGTCTGACTGCATGTGAATGTTTGGGTTGGCGGTGAAAGTGGTTTTGCGGGGATGTCTAGCCTAGCTGTAGGTTAATGAGCAATCGATTTTGTGTTTGGTTTGTGGTGAAAGTTCACAACTTTTGGCTTCATTTCCCACTAATGGGCTGGCTCTTTCCATATTTGGTTCATCTTTGGCCATTCGGAGGCCGTGTGGAGCTGGTATTGCTCAAGCAGTGTAGGAGCAACTTAACGTTGTTGGTGTTAGTTTGCTTGTCCCCTATTTGGAGAACAATGGAATTGTATTTGGTCATTTAGGCTGCCCAATGGTGTTTGTCTTTGGTATATCAATGATGGAATAAGAAGTTAGTTTCCATTGTACTAGGTGCGCCCTATTTGTTCATGATTCAGTATATAATTTGAGCAGAACTTTAGAACTTATATCCTCCTTTTGGCTTCTGTATTGCTAGTTACTACACCCGTACTAAAAATGCACTGACTGCAAGGAATAGGGGATCAATTTAGAAACAATGGGTTAATTTCTCTAAAATGTCAATGCCACCTTATGAATCTTGGTTTGGATTATGTTTTAAAGTGGCAGTGCAGAATAAGGAGTTAGTCTGCAGTCATGTACTTAAGAGCATGTATCTCCCACCCTTTAATCCCCAATCTTATTTTCAAACTAATTTTATTATATGGTAATCATGTGATTATTTTCGGTTTTCCTGATTGTTATAGTCTATTACTGTCTCACTGTGTTGAGTTGAGCTTTGCTTATTTAGAAAGTCGATGGAATTAGTTCTGTATCTCATTCATACCTTTCTATTTTGTTTGTTTATTTTTTCTGTTTGGCCCTTGTTCTGGGTAGATGTATATCTCCAGATAGTATTGAACAATCAAAACCACACCTATTTTCTTGGCCAATGGCATTTCAATATCAAGCATCGGCCTGCTTCATTATTACATATTTTTTCTGTTTCACCTATTGAACATCGTCCTCTTCATCATCAGTTGTGAGTTGTGACCCTCCCTTGCTTGTTTTATTGCTATTTCGCACTTCGTTGGATCCCTTTAATTGAATATCATTTCTTACACCTCCTTTGGATCCTTATCTTTCTTATGGCTCAAATTCTCGAAATTCTCTTGCTCTTGAAATCCATTTCGCCTCTCACTTTGTTTCCACCTTTCAATACTTGTACTCTTTCTTCCATGAATGCTTCTGGCTGCTGTGCTTCCTTCACAGTTTGCCTTGAAAGCTTCTCTATTAGATAACATAAAATGCCGAGGACAAGGGAAAATGAAAAGTCTGTGGACTCTGAGCCCGAGGAACAGGTTGATCTTGAAGATGATAATGACCTTGAAGAACAGATGGAAGAAGAGGTTGAGTATGAGGAAGTAGAGGAAGAAGTTGAAGAGGAAGAAGTCGAAGAGGAAGAGGTGGAAGAGGAGGTAGAAGAAGATGAGGAGGATACTTCTAATGGTACTTCAGAAAAAGGCTTCAACGGTGAAGAGGAAAGTGAGGAAAAGAAGCATGCTGAACTCCTGGCACTACCCCCTCACGGGTCTGAGGTTTATGTTGGAGGTATCCCCCATGATGTTTCTGAACATGATTTGAGACATTTTTGTGAATCAGTTGGAGAAGTTACAGAGGTAAGTTTGTGTTCTCGTTTCTATAGTGGATATTCTTGGTCTCTTAGATTCAGGACAGATTTAAAGTTTGCATTCCTGAATGAAATCAGGTGAGGATAATGAAAGGAAAAGAATCAGGTGAAGGCAAGGGCTATGCATTTGTCACTTTCAGAACAAAGGAGTTGGCTAATAAAGCCATGAAGGATCTAAACAACTCTGAATTTAAGGTGACTCTTTTCTTTTACTTCTTAAAAACTATGTCAACTAGCTTGTTCTTCTATGTTTCATTTGCTGGTGGTCTGAAATTCATTATAATTTACCTGTATTTGAACTGCTGTTTTCAGGGTAAGAAAGTCAAGTGCTCCGCGTCTCAAGCAAATCATAGGCTGTTTATTGGTAACATACCAAGAAGTTGGGGGGAGAAAGATATGAAGAATGTCGTAATGAAGATAGGACCAGGAGTTGTTTCTGTGGAACTGTTGAAGGTTTGACTAGTTTGAACTTCACATCAACATGAAATTAGATTTACTGAGATTGCAATAGTCTTGTTGTCGACAATCGTTTGATGTCTTCTGCAGTCACACAAGTTTTGCATGTGTTCCTTATCATTGTTGACTTGTTTTTTCTTCTGCTGCTCCATTATAATGATCAGTTGCCACTTCCTGTTACAGGATCCGCAGAACCCTATTCGGAATCGAGGATTTGCTTTTCTAGAGTACTATAATCATGCATGCGCAGAGTACTCTAGGAAAAAGATGTCAACCCCAGAGTTTAAACTGGATGATAATGCCCCAACAGTGAGCTGGGCTGATCCGAAAAATGCAGGATCTTCTGCTGCTTCTCAGGTACTATGTAGTCTTGATAGGCTCATGAATAGTTCTTGCCATTTTCTATTTGAATGTTGGTGAAGGAGCTGCAACACTTAATTTGTTACACATTTTGTCTTTAAGGCTACTAGTGTTGGTATCTTCGTACTTTGGTTGTTGCCTATTATTGAGTGCTTCAGTTGAAGTAACGTTTGTTCTCAAACTTCATGATTTATCAGTTGTTTTAAAGAAGTATTTGGATTTGGCTTTTCATGTTCTTAAAAGATCCATGTGGCTTGGGTTATCTGTTGAGTCTTTAATGAGTCCACACAAATCTTTCAAAGACAGCATGATGGGCGTTTCATGAGGCATGCTTATGATGCAGGTTAGGGCTATTTATGTGAAGAACTTGCCAAAAGATATAACTCAAGATCAATTGAGGCAGCTGTTTGAACACCATGGAAATATAACCAAAGTAGTTCTCCCCCCTGCAAAACCAGGACATGAGAGGAGCAGATTTGGGTTTGTGCACTTCTCAGAAAGATCGAGTGCCATGAAAGCACTGAAGAACACTGAGAGATATGAAATTGATGGTAAAGGGTCCCCTCCCTTCTCTCTCTTTATTGTGTGTTCCTGTATCTCTAATTTAAGAGAGTGTGAACCATTAACTATGCCCCTTCTTTCATTTTGACAGGTCAAGTTCTGGATTGTTCTTTGGCCAAGCCTCAAGCAGATAATAACAAGTCTGTTGCAGGAACTACTTCACAAAAGGCAGCCTTCAATCCAAGTTTCCCCCCTGGTCTTGGGTATGGTTTAGTAGGAAATCCTTATGGTGCTATTCGTGGATATGGTGCTGCGGCCTTTGCTCAAGTAAGAACACCTATTCTCCTTTAAAGGATGTCTGTTGATTTTCTGGCATCTCATCCAATTGTTACTTGAATATTATCTGATGTTATGGGGTGGGTTTGTTTGAGCTTTTGCAAGATAAACAAAAATAACGTCTGATGAATAAGTGTGTTGGTGTGCTAAAACACACTCCATGCGTCTCTGTAGATTTTATATTCTGAAGGAGCAAATTTTTTGCAGCCTTTAATTTATGGTAGGGGACCAACTCCGGCTAGCATGGCGATGATGCCGATGTTCTTACCCGATGGAAGGGTTGGATATGTATTGTAAGTGACATCTTATTCTTCTTATTACCAATCCCCCCACTTCTGGCTTCTGCTAGCCTGCTACATGCTCACATCAGCTTATTGTTTTATTGCGGAACTTCTGGAGAAGGTAGCTATTGCCTATTAGTGGCTAAGTTTGATAATGGCTTCTGGTTGTTCTTCTGCAGGCAGCAGCCTGAGATTCAACCACATCCCCCTGTATTCCAACATCATGGTGGTAGAGGTGGCGGTTCAAGCAGCTCCGGCAGTGGTAAACGTTATAATGACAGTAATCGTGGACGTGGGCGCTACAATCCATATTAACCTTTGTGTGTACAACTCCGAATGTTCAGCACTGAACCCGTTCTGCTAGCTTGACATTGTATGCTGATGAATGGATTTGTATTGTTAGATGATAGAAACATGGAAAAATGGTTCTTCCCCTTGTTAGTAAAGTTTCCCATTGGTGAGTAAACCCTTCTGTACGAAATCATATAGTGAATGTGTGAAAATTGTCTAGGGTTTTAGTGTTTTCCTTGCTGATGAAGATTTCGACACCAGCTACCGAGAAACTAATTTACAAAATAGGTAAAATAAGTTAAATAGAGAAACTAATTGAAGATCTCTTTTTTTTTTTTTTTTTTTGACAAGCAATTGAAGATCACTGAACAGTGAACACATGACATGATCTAATGAACTCAACATGTTCTGACACCTGCATCCGTTAGATTCTAGGGATACTTTTAACCAGGTTGCAGCAACAATGCTCACATGATTAGATTTCGTTATAGTACAATTTCAGGTAAATCAAGGCACAAAACTAACAATGCACTTTATTGGAACGCAGTTGGTTTGGACATTACAATTGTGAGGCATACATCCATTCGATGCACAACACTATTCTATAAAAATACATACACTTTTGTGTCCCTTGCTCCTTCAACCAAGGGGATCAAAAGAGGGATTAAATTAAACAACTTTCTCTTAGGGACCAACTGCCAGTCTCAGCAGGCAAAACAACTTCCTAATATTTCCCTTCAATCACATCGCAACAACCGCAGTATGCATATGCTTGTGCTTCTTTCCTGCAGAAATCCCCAGCAGTTGACTATGATGCGGATAATAAGTTCTCCTAAACCTGTTGACACAACAACAATTGACAACCCTAATGAGAATGATAACCAATACCAGAAAATTACAGTCACCACTCATGATGAACTCAGAATAGGATCAAGTGAAGTCAACCACCTTACATTACCCTACTAAGAGAAAGTGCATAAATCTTTTGACAATTCAGTTCTAGATTTCAGAACTTAAAGTAATATCAAACATACAGTTTTCTACAAACAGCACATAATTGATTATTTTGCAAACTGTGATATACGATACGGGCAAGAGAGTAGTATAGTGCATGCTTAACTTGAAGATGACCAAAACTGCTTCAGGTGCTGCTCAGAGGATACTCGAGAGGTCATCAGGAGGGTCAATCCAAATATTCCCAAAAGGATCTTGTTCACCCCAATCATAACACTGCTTCCGAGGATAGTATCTATGATCATCAAGAGAATAGGATATGCATCTTTTCCCAAAGAAGCGAACCTTAGAGAAATAGACACTGTTCCTCATAATTCCCGGCAGGTCAATTCTAGAATGAGATGACAAGAAACTTGCAAACAATGTCAACCCATTGAGAGTACTCATCTCTTCCCAGACCATGTTTGATTGATCCAACCTAAATATAATCGGATTCTGACTGCAACAAGTATAAATAACCAAAATATCCCCATCATGCTCGGTCATGAATTTCCCCTTCCACCAGTTCTTAGCAAAGAAGTTCTCAGGACATTTAGGCGGTGGTACAGCAAGAACGTTCCAAGTACGTTCCGTCGGGTTGAAAACACCTAACCAACCCGTAAGACTCAAGCAGTAAAAGACTCCATCACAGAAAACTATCTTATTCCATATACTACTAACAAAAGGCAGCCGATTCTGGTAATTAACAGTAACCCATTCGGTTGCCCCGGGGTGACAAGTGCTGATAGCAACAACTGTAGGACTGATATGCTTCACTGTAAATACCACGCAGCCTGAAGTTGTTGGTGGACCAGAGAAGGCGACTATCTGGAACGTCAACTCAAACCTTGGAAGTTTGACGACCTCCCGAGTAAACGGGTTGAAAAAGAAGACACGATGTGTTCTAGGTCTGTAGAGCAACAACCATCGGTCTTTAGTATAACACACTCTCGACCCACAAAGCTCTGACAGCTCTAGTGAATAGGTCTTGCGCTGTGATGGGTCGTAGAACTCATACAAGTTACCAAATTTCGGGAAGTACATGAGCCATGGAGGTTGGTTCACCACTCTGACAGAGACCGCACCCGTGTGCCATCCCTTGCAAGCAACTGAAGCACGGATGTTGTCTTGAAGAGACAACCGACAGAATATCATTTCCAGCAGCTCAATAGGAAGGTCGGACCAGGACCGGAGATCTGAATTCTGTTTACTGTTGTTCTTGAACCTCGGTGTTCTGCTGTCATTGGTCACGGCTTCAGCTAACCTATACCAACAACGGTAAAAAGCATCACCAACATGTATATGGAGGGTACCCCTAACTTTCACTGGACACAAGCACAGTTACACTGGGCTGTCATAAGGCAAATGAAAAGCATAATATGATGATCAAAACAAGTCCATCAAAAGAAATCAAAATCATAATTCAGGTCAGTCGAAGGATTGAACTTTGCATGACCCAAACGGGAGAATAACCAACAGCATCACTGCAAATCACACTCAATTACTACCCATCCGACAAGAAAACGCAGAAGAAAACCCCAATTCCCTTAACCCAGTCGCCCATAGTCCGGCCACTGCTGCCCAAACCATAGAAGAACGACCGGAATCAAAACAAGCAGCTCTAAAGCCCTTCAAATCAGGCCATCAAAACCCTAATCCCAAACCCACGCATAACAATTATTTCAGAAGTGCAGAGGGGAAATGGAAAAAAGAGTCGACACACAGATTTGTAACAAAACCAGCGGGGAAACGAGGTACCCACGATTTGACTTTCCTTCTCTTTCTACCCGCCATTGGAAGCAGAGAACTTCCGTCCGCTGAGATTCAGCTTCGCAGAGTGATGGAGGGACGATACGAGAGAAAAGGCGGAAGAGAGAGATATCATATAGCTATACCAGAAAAGGCAAATTAAAAAAAAAGGAAAAATTAAATTGAAAGAAAATAAAAGCCAAATTATAGTGCCGTTTGGCCTTGCGCTGTAGAAAAGAGCAGAGCCGCCGACTACACGTGTTATAATTCACCGCTAGTTCTTCCATGTAGCATTGCACATTTGTACCCGTCATCCTAAACCCAATCGCAAACCGCCACGTCGCTTCGTAAACCACAACTCTGACTTCCGCCGTTGACTCTTTTGGATGTCGCCGGACCTATAAACGGTCTCCAAATGGAAATTGGACCGGCGACCATTCACCAAGCTACACGGCGCCGTTTACATTCGCCGGCGACCCAGTTTACAAATGGGACTTCCCGCCTGAACACTCGGAAATCTACTGATAGATCAGATTAAGATAACGAGAATCGAATCGGCGATCATACATTGAAATCCAGATCGAGAACTGTATTTATTTCGATGCAGAGACTACGACCAAATGGAAATCTAGCCCTCAATCGAATCTAACAGCAAGATTGCTGCAAGAGCAAGATCAAAGATTGAACAAATTAAATTAACAAGTCACAAGTGTTACATTCCATTCCATTCCTTCCCTCAGGAACAGGAATAGCCGCCAAAAGAAGCAAACTTTTACACAAATCATCGACGAATCAAATCCCCCCACCCTCAAATAATCTCAGCAGCAGATGGGGCACTGAACCAATCCATTCTCATTACACCTACCACACCTCACCTTCTTGTTGAGAGCACAATCCAAGACCTTGGAACTTCCATTACACTCTTTACACATCACAAACCTGACCCCGCCGCATCTCCGGCAGCCGGAGCTCATCCTCCTCGGAATCCCGCCGAACAGAGCCTCCAATTTGCCTTCCTCGTCGAGCTTGGCGACCTGCTCGGCGCCACCCACGAGCCTCCCTTTGACGAACACTAGCGGGACCCTGACCTCCTTCGTACCCATCAGCCCTCTCAGCTCCTCTTTCAGGCCGGAATCCATCGAAACGTCTCGCTCGATGACGTGGACGTGGTACGAATCGACGATAGATCTGACGGCGTTGCAGTCCTCGTAGGTCCTCCTAATCCCTCGGAGCGTGGTGCTGTAGACTACCACGCTGTTCTCGCCCCCAGGAGGGCATTTCTCCTCGAAGGAACAGAGCAATGCCTCTGTATCCTCTTCTTGGGAATTCTTCTTCAGTAGTTTTAGGGTTTTGCTGGGAGTCAGCGAGATGATCCTCTTCACTTGCTCTCCTTCTCCTTCCCCTTCCGCCATCTCGCGCTCATACAGTTTGACGAGCTCCGGATCGAACAGCGGGCTGAGATTGCTGTTGAAGCTCCTCTTGGAATTTGAGTTTGAAGAAGACGAAGAAGAAAAAGAAGAACCCAATTCGGTCGAGTCGGTGAGTTTGGGGGACGATTTGACTGGGTAACTTAGCCGGACCGCCGCCTTGCAATTCTTGGTGTTGTTGGGCTTGAGGATCGGCCTGGGGCTGAAATTGAAGTCGGAAGAAGAAGAGGATCTCTTGTTGAACTTGTTCTCCTTGCCGCCGAACGTCTTGGCCTTCCGGGGCGACCCTATTTGATTCATGAACTTCAACGGGCTCCGCGGGTCGAACTCGGTGAACCCGCGGAGGAACGGCGGTCTCGATTTGGGACTGTTCTTCTTCGATTGGGGCGGGGCTCCTTCCTCCAGACCTTCCATCAATTCCACCGCATTGATCTCCTCCGGCAGAGGTTGGGACTCTGGTTCGGGTTCGGGTTCGGGTTCGGGCGGGGCCATCTGCTTCTCGAGCAGCACCGGCGGAGGGACGTGCTTATTGGGCTGGTCGAGTTGGAGTGCGCCGTAGGTGGAGGAAGTGAGGGATACAATGTGGTTGAGGTGAGGGCTCCCACCGCCTGCGGCGGCGGCATTGCCGTTGTGGAGGATGGTTTTCTCCCTGAGGAGTTCCTTTTTGACGTGTTTGGATGAAACGCAGCCCATTTTTGAGAAACAGTCTCTCTCTGGGACTGGGTTTTGGGAGTTGTGGGGGTGGGGGTGGTGGTGGTGGAAGAGATAAGTGGAGAGTTGGGAGAGGAAAGTTGCTTTTCTTTTCTGTTTTTTTTTATAATTTGTTTTTTGTCTATTTTTATTGGGGGATTAAATTATTGTATTTTTAATGGTCGTGGAAAAGGGGTTTTCAACGGTTATCATGTCTGTTTGAGGGCCCAACGGTCGAATTTTTTTCGAATGAGATTTGGGCAGTTTTGTTTGTCGGGAAGGCCCATGTAAAATTTTCGGGCTTTGAACCACCGGGTCGGCCCTCCGGCCGTCCTGTTCTGTTCTGTTCTGTGCTCTTCTTTCTTGTTCCCGAAATATATCAATCTGACAATTCAGTGGGGTTGTATTGTTTGCTTTCTTTCTCTTCTCGTTTTAGTCTGCTTCTGGATTTGGTATTGAAATATTATATTTTTAAATTTTAAATAATTCATTTGGATACTAACTAGATATGATATTTGGATTTATATTAAATATATGGACGAATTTCAAACATGTCTAATATATTATTTGTTAACTAGAAAAAAGCATGGTCCATGAAACCGTATCGGAGACCGTACCGGAAAAGTCAGCGATAGGGTATTTTATGACAAAACCGTGGTTTAATCGTAGTTCAACCGTTAGTACCGTTAAATACCGCCTATCGGTTTAGCCTCCGATACTGGTATTTTGTGGTTGAATCGTCGGTACGGTACGGTTTAATGGACCATGGAAAAAAGTATTGTTGAAGCCAACTCTTTTAATCCCGTTTATCTCTTCGTGCCTAGTAAGCACGTGCATAATCTTTCCTTTGTCACACCTACGCTCAAGAGCACACATGACCTCTTAAGTTCGTTAGTCCGGTTGCCAACTCATACGTATGAGAAGCCATCCAGGCTTTCCTTAAACTTAAACTTAGTTAGGGGAGTCGTAACGATTCATCTCCCTAACATCTTAAACTTATCGTGGCGGCTCTTCACCACAATTCTCAAGAGCATAAATGATGTTCATCTTAAAAGTCTCAAGAGCATAACTGCTGCTATATCTCAAAATGTCTCAAAAGGCAACGGACTGGCGCTAGTGACTAAAAACACTTAAAACGACTTCACCCTCTTGAAGGTGAGTTACTTCTTAAAAAGAACTTGTTTCTTTAACTTAAACTTACTTGCAAGTAAAGCACACAACAACATAAAACTGAAAGCATAACTCACACAAATCATATGACATTATAAGCATACAAAGGCAAGTACGGCACATAGCAGTCAAATCTCAAAAACTTAAATACCGTAAGGCGTAGAATTTACCCCCTTTACACTCACCTTACTTCCGTCGGAACTGGCTTGATTTTGCTCCAAAGTTTCCATACTCGCTTCCACATATTACACTCGTACTTGGTTGAAAAAAATTGGAGCAGCGGCAAATGAAATTAAATGGACCGGCTTTACTCTGGTCGTTATTGGCCGCCCTGAATCCGCCGGCCCTCATGCTTGCTTCCCCTCGTCGGTCGTCCGTGGCAATAATCATGTGTTGCTTAAGCAAGCATCTCTCATAGTAGGGTAGTAGGGAGAATGATTATGCGCTTTTGCCCTAATTTGCCGATACCACATGCTTGGTTAGGTGCCGCCTCATGCCTGCTTAATAATGGCCTCCTCTTGCCTGCTTAATAATGGTCGCCGCCTATCAATATCATGTTGAATCGTCAACCTGCTGAGTCGGCTCCTACTTGCTTGAATAAAGAGTCGGCTCCTATTTGCTTGAATGGTCCTGCTTGATGTGATTACGGCGCGCCTTTCACTTTGCAAGCGGATGAGAAATCGCCTCCTGCTTGCTTAAGCTAGCACCTCTCGTAGCAGAGAGAATGATCATGTCCTGTCTCCCAAGAGAGCAAGTTTCTTTCGGTGAAGAAGGCTTCCCGGAGAGCATCGCTTCCTGCTTGCTTAAGCTAGCACCTCTCGTAGCAGAGAGTGATCATGTCCTACCTCCCAAACTTTGCTTTGATTTCCCGAGAGCAAGTTGCTTTCGGCGGAGATAGGTTGCGAGGGTTTTATGGTGAGGCCGAGCGGGTAACGTAAGGGTTCTAGGGTTTTAATTAGTCAAAGGGTTATTTGTGGAAATTTACACTTGCGGGTGAGTTTAATCCGAAACTCAATTAATGTTCGTAACTTTCTCATTTTATGTCGAAATTCGACACCGCTTGAACCGATAGTTCACACTTTAAGTCCTCCTCGACATTACGGTGAAACTTGACCCAAGGGTATAATAATCATTTTGACTTTTGGGAAGAGCGGGGTGTAACATTTCCTCCACCCTTATAAAAATTGTCCCGGGAATTTGATCGGGCTCATCCTTTCCTACTCCTCATTCTCGCGCTTATTTGGATCAGGATTTCACTCTTTCTATATGAACTTCAATGGCGTGCCCTTACCTTGTCTTGAATAGCTTACGATAGTTCTTATATGTACTCTTGACCATAACATATATTCTCATCTAGCTTGGTAGCATCGAATAGGTTTGAGTGACTCATTGCCCTTTTAAAAATTTTCCAACTTGGCCGAGGGTGTGATGGGACAAAATTTTGGCTCAATTTATTTGGTCCAACTGATTCTGTACCTGATGTTGAACCTATCGAAGTCGAGGTATCACACAACCCATACACATTTAGATTATGGAAGCAATATTCATACCTTACCCAAACCCATTTACAAACCCCCCAAACCCATATGCACTTCACCCATACCCAACCCATTATCAATGGGTCTACTTGGGTTTAGGTATAATTACCCATGGGTGGGTAATTGCCATCCCTACCATGCCGTACCCAAATTTGGTGGGAAATGTAAAAGGTAAGCTTAAAAGAAATTTTTTTATGGAAACCTGCTATACTTTTATTAAGCAGAAATTGATGTTACATCATCATTAATCAATTGGTCAATAAGATATATCGGCGGCCTGCCAAGCCAGACCATTCGTTCATCCCATCTACTCTATGCGTGCGCCATTATGTGGGTTGCATTGTTTGTCTCTCGGAATATAAATCTCCAGCTGCTGTTCATCAGGTCATCAAGCATGCGCCTCACATTTCGACAAAGAACACCGAGCTCCGTTTGCAATGTGTGTGGGTTTTGAAGGATTCGGATAATGTTCTGATTGTCTGACTCAAGTTTGATGGAATAATAATTCAGCTGCCTTGCCAATTGAACTCCCATCTCAGCGGCCAAAGCTTTCGCCTGATCCACACTCCACTCCCTATGAAATTTCTTTGCAGCAGGCAGTAGCAGCTAGGAATCGACCTGCACCATCCCTCAAAACCAATCCCAGGCCTGCACCCCCGCTCGCAATAACACTTTCCTCCGTAGCCACTGATATACTCCCTTGACATCGTCGCTTCCACTTCTTCTTATAATGGCCATCTCCCATTTCTTTAATGACTTCCTCACTGAGCTGGTGCTCCTTATAGTCTATTAGCATTAGGAAGTAGTGTGCTCGATAGGCAATTGCATATTTCGGGTTCTTATGACCATTGAAAAGTTGGGTGTTTCGTTCTTTCCACAAGAACCACAGCAAGGATTTCTCTGCCACCCGAGCTTCGCCATGGAGTTATCTGCCATTGGCGGAGTTATGATTAAAACGAGCAAAAAATTAGTACAAGGTTTAAGCAAATTATGGTGATGACGAGTAAAGAGTACTGACTTACCGTATCCGACAAGAAAGAAGGACAGGGCAACTACGATTGCAGTGTCTCCGATCTCATTGTTGAGCAGCTTGACAATGTTTGTTTGTACGAACACGAAGGGTTGCAGAACGATTCTCGATCATTTTTCCTGTATTGCTCAAAGATCAGAAAAGAACTTGCTACCCTGTACAATGATTCCTACAGAACTATTTAAACTCTAATGGCTAAGCTACAGGGCAAAAACTATAGTATACACAAACCAAATATTGCTGCCACTTGCCTGTCTACAAAGGCCAGATACACTTCTCTATTGTAGGCTTTGGCCTTTGAGGCGTCGTTTTCTATAGTAACTCAACAGGGTTCTTCTTCCTCGCCCGACCGGAACTCTACTTTCTCCTTCTCTGTTGCGGATTAGGATTGCCTGTGTTCTGCACACTTCTATGTTCTTCTTCTATTTCAGTCTATTATTCTACCATCTGATGCTGAGTATTTGACATATAGCTTGAACCTTCTATCAGAAATAGTTGTTCATCAACGTGCATGGGAGGAGTTGGTAATTAACGCAGTTACTAGCTAGCTAGTTATATATACTTCATCACCAGCCCAACTTTGTCAGAGTAAATGGGAAGTGAATCAGCAAAAGTTTGTCAGTATGCTCTACGATTCAACTACCTACCTTAATTGCCTAATGCTTCGAGTAAATGGTTTCATTCCTTGTCCTTTTTTGTTTCCTTGTTAATTGCTAGCTGTCTGTTTGTGATGGATGTTCGATCTGGTTCTGCATCCATCAACCTGCTCCCCTGCTTAGGTTGGTTAAGGTGCTTCTTTCTGCACGGTTTATTCCCACTTATTCACTCAACCCCAGCTAGCTAACAAGCCATTTTAGCATATATCCATGTGACAAAGAACAAACAAGTCCTGAAACAAAGTTTATCAGCTTTCATAAATTGTTTGAACAAGTAATGCAGGTACTCTCAAATACATGCACCAGAGTACGTACAACACAGTCTTCGATCAGGTGTCTGACAATTACACTTGCGCACATATTATCCTTGAACATTATTAGAAGAAACACTGACTTGTACATAAGAAAAGTAGCAACAATGGAGTTTATCCGTCAAAAAAATCTGGTGTAAAACTCAGTGGGTTTTGAAAACTCAAACTCAACTCAACCTGCAGGGTATCCACGGGTTCATGGGTACCCATGCATTTTTGTAGTAAATTTTTTACAATAACAAATTCCTATCAAAATAAAATTCAAAGATCAATTTCCCCATACAATACATACATAAAACACCAATCTATAAAATTCAAACATATCACAATTACACTAAATAAAAGCACATGAAATAAGTGTAGTGAGAGTTAAATTGGGGGAAATTAGAATTAGGGTAGGGTTTGAAGAGAGTAGGGCGACGGAATAAGTGTGAGCGGGTATCCATGGGTCAGGTATCCCTAAACCCAAACCCAACCCGGTGAATATTGTACGGGTATAAACTCGAACCCGGTTTGAAACCCTTCAACACGGGTAAAACTCGCGTTGACCGGGTTGGGTCGAGTAGGGTACCCGTGGGTTCGAATTTTGTTGTCATCCCTAGGTGGCTTACCTTTTCGAAAAAGCGTCAAACACATCGAGAAAACAGTTCATTCTATCTATGAGAAATATATTAAAAGAAATAATAAAATCTAAATAGTTGAAAGATAGAGATATAAAATTTCTTTGAAATTAAAATATCATTATATAAAGGACAAACGAGGAGAAATATATGTATATATTGATGCAAATCATGATAGAATAGAGTCTATCGAGGACGGGACAGATAAGAAGTAATATCAATACATGTATGCACCACGTTACTGTGGGTCGAGTAATACCCACTCTAAATAGGTCGGGAAAGATTAGATTGCACGAATCAAATAAAAATTGCCATCACTATCCTAGATATTAGAATCAAATAATGTGATGAGTATATATGAAACAGATTTAAGTAAACTAAGTAAATGTGAGAAATGTGTTAAGAGTTAGCAACGATAGAAAAGGCCAAAAAAAGTATATAACATCACTTTAGGAACTCTTTAAGTATATTTGAATTTGGACTTCACTACACAATGCTCATATAAATGCGAATTCACAACCACAATGGTATTGGTTGTCTTATCGTTCAATTACTAGGTCAAAGAATTGAGTATCTATTTGAGAATAGAGCAACTTTATAACTGATTGTCGCACACTTTAGCACGATCACGTTAGTGCGAAAATTATAACCTTTTGGAACAATCACTTTTTCTACATCTTATAATTAGGACTTTATATGTAACGAGTCCTAATTACCCCAAAGGACAAAAATAATACATGACAATATCACTTCATAAGAGAAACCGAATGGGTATATGTATATATGTATCAATTAATACAGTCATAATGTAACTCAAATACCAATAATGTACCGACTATAAGTCTATAATCTACCAACGAACACATCTAAAAAATATTTATCACATAACATTAACCCATAGTAATTATCCCTGAGCGCGGGCATTGGCAGCGGCGGCAGCCGTGGAAGTGCCTTCCATGCAATTCGGACGATGGAGTCGGCGGTGAAAATGTTTGACGGCTTCCTGGGCCCCAACAGTTGTGCTTCAATGACCATCACTTCCTCTTCCCAACTCATCAGCGCTTCCCTAATCATCTCTTTACCACCATCATCATGACATGGCGGCAGCTGGCCGCCAACACTGACGTCGGCGCGACCACCATCGACGGCGACATCATCAGCCTTGTCATTAGACGACAACTCCTTCATTAAGGCCCATAACGCCAGGAACAAGACGGGTAAGGTGGCCAATAAGGGGCAGCCATATTTCGCAAGGAAGAACTCTAGGATAGCGAAAAGGAAAAGATCTACGGAGGAGGGCATCGCTGTCGGTTGCCTTTCTACTCTTCCGTTCGCCGGGGATCCCGTCGGCGACATGATCAATGGTGTTTGTAGGGTCTTTTCTATCACAATCACAAAGATGTTTCTTGCTCTGTCACCTTGTTTGTTTTGATATTTATAATAAAACCTAGCAGTGGGTTGGAAAATTAGACAGAAAAAAATACGATGTTAAAACGGATTAGGACTTAAGGCGCAGTGGTCCCTTTCTTAATGGGTCGGAATGTTTAGCCCACAGCTCAAGGCCGGTATGTACCATACCGTAGGGATGGCAAGTTTGCCCATACCCATGGGTTTTTGATTATCGAACCCAATTGGGTTGGGTATGAAATCCAAATAGATGGATATGGGTAAAGTTTGATGGGTTTGTACCCATACCCATTTACTTTGGGTTGGGTTGGGTTTATAACAGATGGATTTGGGTTTGTACCCATGCTCAAATACAAATTACAGTTTGGTACCTAAACTTAATAGATATGCATATTTAGTACCTAATTTTTTTTTTGTAAATAAGTCCTCAAAATATCGATGGAAAATTACGTTTTGGTACCTAAATTTTTTTGGTCTTACATTTTGGTACCTAAAATTTTCAAGTTTTACAAATAGGTCTAATTTTTGCATGTGTAGTTAAAACACCCTCAAGTAAATGGATATCCATATCCAACCCATACCCATTTAGATTATGGAAGCAATATTTATACCTTACCCAAACCCATCTACAAACCCCCCAAACCCATATGCACTTCACCCATACCCAACCCATTATCAATGGGTTTACTTGGGTTTGGGTATAATTACCCATGTGTGGGTAACTGCCATCCCTACCATACCGCACCCAAATTTGGTGGGAAATGTGAAAGGTGAGCTTAAAAGAATTTTTTTTATGGAAACATGCTATACTTTTATTAAGTAGAAATCGACGTTACATCATCACTAATCAATTGGTCAATAAGATAAATCGGCGGCTTGTCAAGCCAGACCATTCGTTCATCCCATCTACTCTATGCATGCGCCATTATGTGGATTGCATTATTTGCCTCTCGGAATATAAATCTCCAGCTGTTGTTCATCAGCTCATCAAGCATACGTCTCACATTTTGACAAAGAACACCGAGCTCCGTTTGCAATGTGTGTGGGTTTTTAAGGATTCGGATAATGTTCTGACTGTCCGACTCAAGTATGATGGAATCATAATTCAGCTGCCTTGCCAATTGAACTCCCATCTCGGCCGCCAAAGCTTTAGCCTGATCCACACTCCACTCCCTATGAAATTTCTTTGCAGCAGCAGCTAGGAATCGACCTGCAACATCCCTCATAACCAATCCCAGGCCTGCACCCTCCGCTCGCAATAACACTTGCCTCCGTAGCCACTGATATACTCACTTGACATGGTCGCTTCCACTTCTTCTTATAATGACCCTCTCCCATTTCTCTAATGACTTCCTTACTGAGTTGGTGCTCCTTATAGTCTATTAGCATTGGGAAGTAGTGTGCTCGAGAGGCAATTTCATATTCCGGGTTCTTATGACCATTGAAAAGTTGGGTGTTTCGTTCTTTCCACAAGAACCACAACAAGGATTGCTCTGCCACCCGAGCTTCGCCATGGAGTTATCTGGCATTGGCGGAGTTATAATTAAAACGAGCGAAAAATTAGTACAAGGTTTAAGCAAATTACGGTGAGACGAGTAAAGAGCACTGGCTTACCGTATCCGACAAGAAAGAAGGACAGGGCAGCTACGATTGCAGTTTCTCCGATCTCATTGTTGAGCAGTTTGAGAATGTTGTTTGTACGAACACGAAGGGTTGCGGAACGATTCTCGATCGTTTTTCCTGTATTGCTCAAAGATCAGAAAAGAAATTGCTACCCTGTACAATGATTCCTACAAAACTATTTAAACTCTAATGGCTAAGCTACATGGCAAAAACTATAGTATACACAAACCAAATATTGCTGCCACTTGCCTGTCTACAAAGGCCAAATACACTTCTCTATTGTAGGCTTTGGCCTTTGAGGTGTCGTTTCCTATAGTAACTCAACAGGGTTCTTCTTCCTCGTCCGACTGGAACTCTGCTGTCTACTTCTCTGTTGCGGATTAGGATTGCCTGTGTTCTACACAATTCTATGTTCTTCTTTTATGTCAGTCTATTAATCTACCATTTGAGGCAGAGTATTTGACATATAGCTTGAACCTTCTATCAGAAATAGTTGTTCATCAACGTGCATGGGAGGAGTTGGTAATTAACGTAGTTACTAGCTAGCTCGTTATATATACTTCATCACCAGCCCAACTTTGTCAGAGTAAATGGGAAGTGAATCAGCAAAAGTTTAGCAGTATGTTCTTCAATTCAACTACTTACCTTAATTGCCTAATGCTTCGAGTAAATGGTTTCATTCCTTCTCCCTTTTTGTTTCCTTGTTAATTGCTAGCTGTCTGTTTGTGATGGATGTTCGATCTGGTTCTGCATTCATCAACCTGCTCCCCTGCTTAGGTTGGTTGAGGTGCTTCTTTCTGCACTGTTTATTCCCACTTATTCACTCAACCCCAGCTAGCTAACAAGCCATTTTAGCATATATCCATGTGGCAGAGAACAAATAAATCATGAAACTAAGTTTATCAGCTTTCGTATATAGTTTGAACAAGTAATGCAGGTACTCTCAAATACATGCACCAAAGTCATACAACACAGTCTTCGATCAGGTGTCTGACAATTACACTTGCGCACATATTATCCTTGTACATTATTAGAATAAACACTGACTTGTACATAAGAAAAGTAGCAACAAACTGTTCCTCCCTATCTCTTCGACGAAAACTATGGGATGCTCTCAGCATCGTCTCGAAACCTTTCCGTTAGTGGTTTAACCTTCTTTGTCAATAGATGGTTGGTTGAAGGTTCTTGCAGGTTGTGCTCACTGCATTCCTGAAGGTAAATGCAAAGCCTCACGCAAATAACAACCTGAAGCTTTCTGCTCGTATTGAATAATGTTTAATGCTTCCAAGTCAATGAAAGTTTAAGCGTGCTACACATCACAACTTTACTCCTTGTCTTATTGTACTTGAACCAATTTGATGGAATTGAATCAATGCTAAAACGGGATAGTAGCCTGCGTCTACTACTCTCTCTCTCAGTAAGAAATAACAAAACGTTCAGTGCACAGACAGGACACAGAGCCAGCCAAATCTTCCTGGGAAGATTGATGTGAGATATGTAGGCTCGTTAAGTCAATCCTCCTTGTGCAAGACTTTAGGAACTCGAACGTAAGGCTCGTCGTAGCTTGGAAGGCCTTCGATGATGGCATCCCTGGATTATGAAAGCACAGAACACTCAGAAAGCATGCCCGTTTATCAAACACAGATTACCCTTCCAAAAGCTCATTCTCGTACACAACACTTGTTAACTAGTAAGAACTTATTTCACCACAAATGAAGAAGAGAGACTTACGTTTTGGGGAATGTTACAGGAACATCGTCTCTCAAGTTCACTTCTTCTTCAGCCTCTGATGATCACACAACGAAAATCACAAATGGGATCGATCCCACAAGACACACAGCCACAAGAAGTAAACAATCTACGAAAACCTCGAGTTATTAAGATCACTTCATCGTCGTTCACTCGTTAATCAACATCTGTAATGGAAGAGCTGAAACTTTGATCACAACAGTCCATTTCAACACGAGTTTCTGTTAACTCCCATCATCAAGGATTCCATCTTTTTGCATATTATGATAAACCCACAATATTAGTAGTTGGGTTCAAGTACAGTGTAATCTTTGTTCAAACATTTTAACTCCTATCAATCATCAAAGGTTCCATTGGACTTTTTGCATATTATGATAAACCCACAACATCAGTAGTTGGATTCAAGTACAGTGTAATATCTGTTCAAATATTTTAACCAGACATCCATTGGAATTCAATCCATCCAGAACCTTGGATAAAGGAGAAAACACTTGCCTGCTGCTGTTGCTGCTCGGATCCCAGGCTCGACTTGATTGAGATCCACACCTTGAAGTTGTCCAAACCTACAAACACAAACCCACCAAAATTCTTCCCATTACTCTCCCCCGAGAGTTTCCAAAATCCAATTCCGGAGGAGAGGGATTCTAAACATCACCAGTCAATCACTTGCTTGATTTTGGGGCCGAACTCCTCCACCTGACAATCGACAAAGCATATAAAAAACCAGAGCAAGGGAGAGGAAGAAGTCAGACTCCGCGCTTAATTACCTCCTGTTCGGTGAGCAAAATTCGAGCGGTTTTAGCTAGTCGCCGGACGTCCGGCGCTTCCTCGTTCGCCAATGCTTTCGCTGAAAACTTCGTCACGCTGTTTTGCCGCCAAAGAGGATTACTACTCCCGTCGAGAAAAGAGTAAGAGGCGCGGCGGCCATAGCCATTGTTGAGCTTCACCGTCTTGCTACTGTTGATTAGCAGCAACGGAAATGAGCGCCCAAGCAGCAATCCTCCGGTCGCCATAATCCCCTTCCAATTTTCCCTCTTTCCCCTCGCCGGCCACCCAAAATTTCTTCCAGAAATCCAGAAAAAAATTCGATTGAAATTCGCATGGACTGGGATAAAAATAAAATATCTCGGATACCACTTAAGTTTCAGAATTGGGACAGACATACCACTTAAGTTTGAATAGGACGTCGGGTACCACTGAACTCTATTATTTGTGCACCCGATACCACTTAAGTTTAATGTTAAGTGCATTCCGTTAAAGTTGGAAAGAGTACAAGTATTGAAAGGTGGAAACAAAGTGAGAGGCGAAATGGATTTCAAGAGCAAGAGAATATCGAGAATTTGAGCCATAAGAAAGACAAGGGTCCAAAGGAGGTGTAAGAAGTGATATTCAATTAAAGGGATCCAACGAAGTGCCAAATAGCAATAAAACAAGCAAGGGAGGGTTACAACTGATGATGAAGAGGACGATGTTCAATAGGTGAAACAGAAAAAATATGTAATAATGAAGCAGGCCGATGATTGATATTGAAATGCCATTGGACAAGAAAATAGGTGTGGTTTTGATTGTTCAATACTATCTGGAGATATACATCTACCCAGAACAAGGGCCAAACAGAAAAAACAAACAAAATAGAAAGGTATGAATGAGATACAGAACTAATTCCATCGACTTTCTAAATAAGCAAAGCTCAACTCAACACAGTGCGACAGTAATAGACTATAACAATCAGGAAAACCGAAAAATAATCACATGATTACCATATAATAAAATTAGTTTGAAAATAAGATTGGGGATTAATGGGTGGGAGATACATGCTCTTAAGTACATGACTGCAGACTAACTCCCTATTCTGCACTGCCACTTTAAAACATAATCAAAACCAAGATTAATAAGGCGGCATTGATATTTTAGAGAAATTAACCCATTGTTACTAAATTGATCCCCTATTCCTTGAAGTTAGTGCATTTTTAGTACGGGTGTAGTAACTAGCAATACAGAAGCCAAAAGGAGGATATAAGTTCTGCTCAAATTATATACTGAATCATGAACAAATAGGGCGCAGCTAGTACAATGGAAACTAACTTCTTATTCCATCATTGATATACCAAAGACAAACACCATTGGGCAGCCTAAATGACCAAATACAATTCCATTGTCCTCCAAATAGGGGACAAGCAAACTAACACCAGCAACGCAAAGTTGCTCCTAAACACTGCTTGAGCAATACCAGCTCCACAAGGCCTCCGAATGGCCAAATATGGAAAGACCCAGCCCATTAGTGGGAAATGAAGCCAAAAGTTGTGAACTTTCACCACAAACCAAACACGAAATCGATTGCTCATTAACCTACAGCTAGGCTAGACATCCCCGCAAAACCACTTTCACCGCCAACCCAAACATTCACATGCAGTCAGACCCAGTAATTCCTCAGCCCTTCTACGCTCACCAAACGAGGGAGCTCAAACTTTGATGACGCGAATAAAAAATTAGCAAGGAAATGTAAGAAAGAGATGTCACATTCAGTAAACTGAAGATAGACAAATGAGAATGGTTCATAGAGCTCCATTGACATTTAAGGGAAAGAGGTAAAGGTCATAATTAGATAGAGAGAGCGCGATTACCAGGAGAGTATGGAGAGTAAAGAGTACAGAGCAACGCCTGGCACGGGATAAAAATGGCGGGGATTCGTTGCGCTGTGGGTGTTTATGTTGAGGAAACCCTATTTTTCTGAGATTCGGAAGGGGAAGGAAGAAAGAGAGAGAGGGACCCGGATAACGGTGTCGGGTCGGACCATTTTCGTTTTGTTTATCTGAGCTTTTTGGCGTGGCCTGCACTTTTAGTTAATTAATAATTACTTAATTAGCTTCGAGGACGAGGGGGCGGGGCTGGCCGGTTCCCGGGTGGGGTTAAATAGCAATTTGGTCACTGAACTCTACTATATCTGTCATGTTGACGCCATGATTTCTTTTCTTAAACATTTGAAAACTAAATTCAATTGGATGTGTTGATTTTAGCCATTATTTCACTTTCAAGTTTCAACTCAAGAATGTTATTAATCCATAAAATCCTCTTCGGTCAAAAATAACAAAATTTCCTGAACTTTTTGACATGACACATTTGTTTGTCACCCATACGATTAATTGAAGTGCTTAGATTATAACTTACAACAACCAAGCAAGTTTGTGCATGAACCAAATTCAAAGCCCAAATAATTCTAGATAAATGTAACATCAACACTCCCCAAACTTTGCATTATTTTTTGTTTTCATATGATGTAGGCTCTCAAAAGCTATCATCACATTATCAACAATAGATCGTCCCTGTACAAACGCTGATTGTTTGACTGAGATTATCCTGAGCATCAAAGGTCTTATAGGTTGCCAAAACTTTCGCCATAATTCTATATATCACATTACACAGGGAGATCGGTCTCAAGTATTTCATAGTGAATGGGGTATCCTTCTTAGGCAACCGAACTATTATTGCACATAACAAATACTTCCTCCCGGTCAAAAGTGTTGAAAAAATTCGGGCTTATAGCCGTCCGGGCCAGGTGCCTTATTCGGGCTCATAGCAAACAGCGCCTATCGAATTTCTTCCGGGAGCCAACAAGTAACCGTTGTCATCTTATGTTACCACCAATGTAGTAAAAATCACGTTTTAAAACTTAAAAACTTAAGATTTTATGCTTCTAGGTCACCAAAATGCTTCTATGCATAATTACTCCCTTTTTTTTACTAATGTAGTTAAAAACACCCTTAAAACTTACATTTTTACGTTTCTAGGTCACCAAAACACTTCTACTTAGAAACACGTTTTTTACTATATTGGTTACGACCTGCGTCATCATGTTTACAACCGACTCCGTCACAATTTCCAGCCTTGAACAGCTTAGCGACCCTAGCAATCTTTGCCAAATCTGCCTTCCTCTCCACCCACTGCCTATGTTCATCTTGTAAACAACTTATTTCCTTATGCTTCTAATGCTCGTTGGCCATAAAATGGAAAATCGAGTGTTCATATCTCCATCTCGAACACTTAATTGACGATTGATTCAAAAACAATATTTGTGAGCTCGAGTGTATTCTTGACTCAGCCAATTTTCAATAATTTGATCAATGTACTTATTTATACCTTGGCTAAAAAGATGTCAAATTTGACACAATTTTTGACGGTTTGTCATAAAAAGTCGGTCACGTTAACTATTAAGGAGAAATTGACAAAAGAACTAACATCGATAAATTCGATTGACATAAGGGCTTTGCGTCTATTAAAAACGAATTCAATACTCAATGTGACATGTAAATTAATGAATTGAATGACCAAATAAGTACTATCATCATCACAAGTTCACCCCTGTTGAGGCACCTTTCTTCCGTCTCCTCTCCTCCAGCCATGTTAAATGGTCCCAAACAGAAAATTCTCTCTCTCTCGCTCTTCATTCGTTTGGTAAATTTGCAAAATGATCCCAAATTTGCTGGACATAATGCAAGGCATCCCAAATACGAACAAAAACTCGGACAGAGCCCTCAATGCAGTAGAAACTACAGACTAGAGACCCAGAATTCTGAATTCCATTCCCAACAAAAGCTAAAGACAAGACATGTTCAAAGGTAACACTATCAGAACCAAACAAACAGAACCATCATCTGATCGCAAAATTCACAAGCTACTGAGCTACTACACGAAACCCATTTGCAGGGTGCTGCTGCTGCTCACAGGAACAAGTGTTGGTATTCACTATTTGCAAGTTGGCAAAGCTGATTGAAGGAAGATGCATCTGAATAACAAAGCAAACATTGTGCTCAGAAACAAGAAAACTGGAAGAGAAGGCTGAATTAGAACTTAGAAGGGGTTGGCACTTGGAAGATAAAAAGCGCGCGAGAGTAAGCAAATGGCGGGATCGTATTCCAAAGGGGCGCCAAATTAGAAATGGAAGGAGACCATTGAATCAATTTCGCTATGGCTTAATTGCAAGTTTGGTCACTCGAATTGCTATAAAATTTCACGTTTGCCACTCAAATTAATTTATTCCATTTGTAGTCACTCTAATTAGTTGAACAGTTCAAGTTCGGTCACTCTCCGTTAACCTCTGTTAACTTTGACTGACGTGGCGGTCAACTCTGACTGTTGACCGTTAAATGTGTGACGTGGCAAATAAAAAATAATTAAAAAATAAAAATTAAATTTTTAAAAATTACACATAATTATAAAAAAAAATAATTATAAAAAATTTCTAAAAATTATCAGAGCCCTATCCCCACCATTAGGCACAACAGTAGTGGGCAACGACTTGGGTTCGGGGACGGGAATGGGAACGGTCTCCGTACTGTGATTCAGAATGAGCGGTGGTGGGGATGGCTGTGGGCAAATGGCAATCGGCCTGAAGCCTCCAGAGTGGTAATAGTTGTTGTTGTTCATGTAGACCGGGGAAGGATGGAGCACATTAGGCTGTGTATGAGAAAGAGGGTAGCAGTAGTAGTAGAAGAAGAGTCGATTAGGGTTGGGGATTACAGCCGGGTGATAGAAGAAGGCCTGGGAATGATCGCCAGCGGCGGTGGGTTTGAGAGGGAGAGGCGAAATTTTGGCGTCGGTGTGGGTTTGGGTCTTGGTCGGAGGAGAGGGAAGAAGAGCGAGCGGCGTTGAGCGGCGAGGCGCCGGTGGGTTGTTAAAAGGCGGTGCGTTGGGGTTTAGAGCAGAAGAAGGGGTTTGGGGATGGGAGTTTGGAATTGCCGGCGACATGGCGGTGGTCGGAGGTGGTGCGGGGGAGAGGGGATGGGTTGGAGGAAGGGGAACACAGAGGTTTTCTGGGCGATGGAGGGAAACTCTGATAAATTTTTTATAATTATAATTTTTTTATAATGATGTGTAATTTCTAAAAATTTAATTTTTATTTTTTAATTAATTTTTATTTGCCACGTCACACATTTAACGGTCAACAGTTAGAGTTGACCGCCACGTCAGTCAAAGTTAACGGAGGTTAACGGAGAGTGACCGAACTTGAACTGTT